AATAAATAAACTTTTTAACTGAATAAAATTGCAGCAATCACATTTTTTTGATGAAATTGTACATAATGAATAAAAAAAATCGAATTCGAGTTTTTTTTTATTTTTTGCATTTTCTGAGAACATTTACTATAGTAATGTATTTTTTTTACACCATCAGAAAATAGAAATTTCAACGAACAAAAAGCACACCGACTTTTTGAAAAAAAGATGGTATTACGTCAAAATAAGGTGAAATTTTAAATCAAATAAATTACAGTGTATTTGGGACATAAAAAGGTAAGTTTTCACCAAATTTCGTAGAAAAAAAAAATTGAAAAAAAAATTAAAAACCATAAACTTTGTTATTTGAATTTTTCACATGAATTTTGAAGTTATGTGAAAAAATTGTGAATGCAAAAATTGTAGATCTTTTTATCATCTGCAACTTTGTCATTCAACTTTTTTCCATAGGACTTGTAGTTTTGCCGGAAATCAAGATACACCATTTTTTACCCTTAAAAACTCACCCCTTCCCGAACTCAGATTGCCCATAATTTATTTTTCCTTTCATTTCTATCATATTCCCTTTCTTTTCTAATGGGTTTCATCCTACTGTTATTTTTTTTTTTTCCTTTAAAAAATTATCGACCCTGGTCTAAAAAAGAAATTATTTCCCATGAAGTTAAAAGAGATGTTTGGTATATTTTGATCTATTTTTAGTCATCATTATGATAATAAAGATATTCATTGAATCATTCTAAGCTATGTAGAGTGAAAAAGTAATGGTAAAGTTCTTTACTCAATATGAAATACAAAAAAATCAACACTTTTGCAGGAGCTACGTGCACTTTTGAAATGTGCACTTGAAAAGAAAATATGCCATAGTTTTATTCTCGATTTAAAAAAATATCTAGTCAGTAGAGTGAAACTTGTAAACATAAAGTTATTTTGATCATTATTACACGAGACGTACCATTAAACATCCTGGTTACCTTTATACAACAAAAAACACATATTGATCAATACGTAATTAATTGTATATCATTTGTTTTTTAGGACGGAAATTCATTTAATAATTCCTTCATTTACAGAGTAAAAAACCTTTTTTTTCAAGTCACTGTTACTTATCGAGCAATACAAAAATGAATGCGCTAGCACTTACATTGACCTAAAAAATATTTTGAATCGTTGTATAAAGAAATAAACAAAAAATATGTTTAATAGCATAGGCGTTACCCGCAAAAACTAAAAAAATTAGTTTTTATCACATGGATAAATAAGTACCGCACACACTGATTTGATTTGTCACTGATATCTTATAATTTAATATTTAGCTCTATGCCAATAAACATTATTATGTCATGTGAAATTTTCAATCTCCTATTATGACAAGTTTCCAATAAAACGAGTATAGAACACCAGTAATTTTGAAAAACAAAAATATTTTTGTTTTGTATTGTCCACAAACTTTGGGTAAAACGTTGTGCATAATTTTGTGTTCTTTCCATACTTTTTCTGTTGCTGATAGAAGNAATGAAGTAAAATCGGATGGCAGGAGGACCCTTAATTTTTTCAGCAAATAACTGATTTGATGATCCCATCTCAAATGTTTGTCAATCATTATGCCCAAGTACTTGATACAGTCAGCCTCAAAGATTTGGATACTCTCACTAATTTTCAATGGACCTAATTTTGGTGAAAAATTTTGGTAAGCACTGAAAGTCAAATGTTAGGTTTTTATCAAAATTTATCGTTCATAAATTACTATCAAACCATTTCTTGATAATTTAGAAATCTGCATCCACACTTACTTTCAAATTATACCAGATATTAGCAGTATATGAAATCACCGTATCACCTTCAGAAGATCGAATTTTCCCTTCAGTTTGCATATAAAATAAATCATTGATGAACAATTACGGGCCCAAAACAGAATCTTGAGGAATCCCATAAATACATTTTTTTTTGTCATTGTATATATCATTAGTTTTAACTTGTTGATTTCTATTTTTCTAATAACTTTCCATTAGATTGTATGTAGTTCCACGAAAGCCAATTGCTTGCATTTTTTCCAAAAGTATTGAATGGCTGACTATATCAAAAGCTTCAGCTAAATCAAGAATAACAGATAAAGTTGGTATTTTATCATAAATACATTATTTACTATGTAACAAATTGCATTCTGTGTAGACTAATTTTGTCTGAATCCGAATTGAGTATTTGAGAAAAAATGGATTTTATCTGAATATTTTTCAATTCTATACTTGAAGGATTTTTTCAAATATTTTTGCTAAACTAGATATCAATGTGATAGGTCGATAATTCTTCATTTCATTCTTATCACCATTTTTGTAAACCGGCTCAATTATTCCAATTTTGAAAGCATCAGGGCATATTCGGCAAATTCATTTTTAGGGAATCAATATTATTATAACTAAAAAAAGAGGTAAAATGATTTCTGGTATGAATTACAAGCTTCATATACTTAAAACGTATTCTCAGTCTTCTTTAAACAAATACAAAAATTCATGCCTGTTACTCACAACTTCAAAATTGGTATCTTGATGATCAGCAGCTACGTGTTCCTGTAATGTTATGTCAGTGAAACCCATCCGAGAACAGTAGGGGCATGTATAAGACTGTGGCAACTCCAAACTTGTCAAAGCTTCTCCACCATAATACAGTTCTAGAAAATTTACGTGCATCAAAATATATGGAAACATTGGTTGGAATCAATTTAATTATATAAAACCACTATGCTTTGACAATATTTCGAAATGTATAAACTTTATCAAGACTGTAAACACTGATTTTTTTCAATACTGTCTGTATTGGAATTAGTAATCACACACATTTAGATACATATATACTTGATAGTTTGTAATGGAACCACTGGCGTAAAATTAATCTATTGAAAACACCAGTACAAAAATTACGGTCTCTCAACACGCGTTTCGCTAACCAAGTTACTACTATGTTAGTGTTCTTATATGCTAGTGGCTTAACTACTACCTGTTATCGATCCTATGATAAACTTCACGTTTCAAATACCTCTAATTCGTTATGTAATTTAATATAATATAAGTTTATTCATGACATGTTATGATATATACATTGGAAATAATAAACAAACTTCGAATAAACTAATAATAACCTTGACAAGTAAAACTTGTGCCAAGGTATGTCATAAAAACAGATACATCTTTATAAATACAATCTCACATATATTCATATACAAAGTATATGAACACATGTGAAAAAAGAAAATAACAAATGAATACATAAATTTAAAATATGTAAATATTTTTGTTTTGTATTGTCCACAAACTTTGGGTAAAACGTTGTGCATAATTTTGTGTTCTTTCCATACTTTTTCTGTTGCTGATAGAAGAGTGAAGTGTTGGTGCTGTGAGAAATGAAATTAAAAATGAACTAGAATAAACTAAACTATGTCACAATATCTTCTATTTGCAACATTAAGCTGTCCCTACATAATATTTAATGCCCACTGAAATATCCATACAATGTTTTTCAAGTGCAGAATAAAAGTCATATGTAGTTTTCAAAATATGTTTTCACAGACATTATGCCAGCCATGTTGATTGAAGATCGCATGCAATATTGTTTCATCAAATTACTGATTTATAATAATACGATATCACTCTTCAGCAATTTCAAAAGACACTAAGATCAATATCTTAAGACAATAGGCATATACCTGAAATTGGGAAGATTTCCAGTTATATGTCCACATGCCAATTCTCTTCCCAAAGTGTGGTCTCAGGGGGAAAATAGGGGTTCAAAAATTGTATTGAATTTCTTAAGTGTTAAAGTTGAAAACCTGAAGATTTGGGTTGTTAAAAAAATATTGTAACTATTTGTTTGGAATGGTCTGTCACTGAATGTGACAAACCAAATTCTATGCGGGCGAAGCCGCGGGCATCAACTAGTATTATACAGATGTTTCAATGGCCATAACATATTCAGGTGAGGTTTGATACTGGAGTGGAAAAAAGTACCACAACAGTTATAAACTGATATACAATGACGTAAAATTGACGCATAATGAAAAGAGTTTTCGGTTGAATACATATATACAGTGACGTAATATTAACGTATAATGAAAAAACTTTTCAGTTGAATGTTGTGAGTAGAATTAGTGATACATATTTTCAAATGTGTTGCATAATGTTATTTCACTTCACTTATGAAATGTTCTATCATTTCTTTTTTGTTAAGTGGGAGTACCCAATCTTTTGATCGTGTGTCTATTGACTTAACTTAATTCAGACTAGTTTTTGAACTATAGGGTGCTCAATTTTTTCGAAACTATATTTGTTGAGTCAAAAATTACGCATATTATTGTCACGAATATTGTCTAGAGTTTCAGGTTGTTCTTCTAAAACAAAAAAATCAGGAAATATGATGTAACTGACTATACAATCCACTTAGGGTAATCCAATGGGTAGTGTTCTACACAGATACATTTATAAATACATTTATTTAATGGATTGTCTCGTATAATAATGATTTTGACTAATTTGAAGTAACTTCATGTTTGCAGGCAATACTTTTGAATTAATTGCTAATCGTTAACTACCATTTTTCTTAACTAGATAAGTTTGTAAATTGAGTGGAAAACAATACATATATGATTCATCAAATAAGTTGAAAGAGTATAGAAGAGATTAATTTTTGGGAAAGAAATTATTTTGGCTTTCTACTTCTCCATCTAAATACGAAAATGTGGGAATCTTCCAAAGAAACGAAGGAAACAATTAATTTCAAAAAATTATCTTTATACAAAGGGGTAACTTTCAGATACGAACTGGAAGAAAAAGCCTTCTCGAAAAAGCCTTTTTCATTTAAACATTGAGTTATACAAAAGAAAGTATGTTCGAAACAAATACTTTTACATGAACGCTGAATTATACCGTGTATTTAATCAATCAATCAATCAACAATATGACAGAATTACAACAAAAACTAAAATCTATAAAAACAATAAAATTATGCATATACGAAAAACACTTTCCTCTATTCCATTTGTATTCAATGTTTATATGAAAATAGCTGTTTCGAAAGGGCTTTTTCTTCCAGTTTGTGACTGAAAGTTACCTGTTTGCATGATCTACGCATCTTCGTATAGGGTTAATTTTTTGAAATTGATTGCTTCCTTCCTTTCTTTGGAAGATTCCCAAATTTTTTTTAATCTTGATGGAGAAGTAGAAAGCCAAAGCATTTCTTTCCCAAGTCTCATTGAACTTCATAGGACCTAGTTTCCATATTCAACTGTATGTATCTGGTCATTGTTTCTAGTTTTTCATCATTTTTTTTTGTTTTTCAAAAAATTGTGTCACTTTTAGTAGT